AATATCATGGGGAGGGATTCTGCTAAAATCCGATTGAAGGACATGCTGCGCGCGCTGCGCCAATTGGATGGCAGTGATGTTCTCGTGATGCAAGACCAAATTGGCATTACAACCGGGATCGTTTTGCAGACAAAAGTGCAGAAGCTAATGTTCGAGCGATGGGGTGAGACGTTAGCGATGGATTTTACCCACGGAACGAATAATCTGGGCTATCATCTGGGTGCGTACAGCTATGGTTGCTGTAACTTTATTCTGATGTATAACAACCTTATCTACTTAAAGTTGCTGTATGATTAACTCAACTTCGTTTTGGTTTTGACCTTTAGGAAGTTTGGTTGTCACCACAGCTACGGGTCGAGGGTTTCCGGTTTTTGATTTTATTTGTCTCAACGAGCAAGCACTGACAATGTCCAGAATTTTGGACTACTTCAAGGAGAAGAACTCGGGCTGGAAGCACATTCAATCGGTGGTGATTGACAAAGATTTTGTTGAGTAGGGCGTATTAAAGGATGCCTTTCCGAGAGCCAAGGTTCTATTATGTCAGTTCCATGCGATTAGTTACTGGAAGAAGGTAAAGCGTCCGTTGTATCGCCTAAGAGTTTCGCAATGTGAGGAACTGCTGGTCCAAATGATGAAACTACTTTACAGGTGAGTAAGGTTGCTTTTCACCGTGTATGTGGAGGCTAATTTGTGATTGCCTTTGATTTATGTTAGTACCTCTAGTACCAGATACAACTTCTACTACGATGCAATGCGGCAGTATTGTAAGGACCAGAAGCGCGAAGCCTTTTTTGCGTACTTCGATAAAAACTGGAACTCGTGCCGTGACATGTGGGCCAATTTTACTAGAGGGAAGGCTTTTACTGCTGGCAATATCATATACACGCGCGCACGACTCACGCTGGGATCCCCCCTCCGGTGTGTGTCGCTCCCCACACACAGAAAAAAAGCAATCCGATTTGACGGGGTTTATTGATGATTTCTTAATAAAACCTGAACTTTCACGAAGAGTGAAAAATGAAGTTTTAGCACCCTTCTTTGTTAATCCCTTACGCTTTCTTTGCTTTGGGCACAGAGTATCCGGTGGTGGGTGGTTCGCGATAAGATCCGCAAAGACGGTCCCAAAACGTGAAGTACTGGCCGTAGTTGTAGACGAACAGTTCGTGGTGCACTGAGTGATGCATCGCCCCGTTGACGATTTTGTTCTGCGAAAGATAACATCCGTCGTGAATACTGATGGTCCAGAAGTTGACCGCTACAAACAACACGAGAAATAACCCGCGGTGGATGAGGAATAGCATGATGTAGAAGTGATAAGGCAAGCTCTGGATGTAGCCGTCCATCGGGTGAAAGGCGTGAGATGCAAACGGAGAGCAGATAATCCATTTGTGGTGTGGCTTGTGTAGCGTCGCGTAGATGAATGGGTGATGCAACCATCGGTGGAGCCAGTAGATCAGCATATCCGAGAAGACGATGAAGGTAACTACGGTTTGAACCTCGAACCAGTAGCCGTGCTTGCCGAATTCCGGGTACGTCTTGGAGTAACCGCGAACGTCAGCGAGGAACCACGGGAGTGCCAGCAATACCATCACGGGGATTGACTTCATAGAGGCCAAAATCTCACTGCGTATTTGGTTTTTCATAAACTTGGGGTGATTCATCAGCTCCTTGTCGAACAGGAACTCGTACGCCAGTTCAGCGCCCAAGAGGTAGAGCAGATACCCGCCCACAAGCGTAACTCCTGAGATCGACGCAACCTGCCGATAAATGTCATCGCGATGGAGGGTTGCAGGGTACAATGCATCCAGTGCGTAATAGTCGGCATACTCCAAGATGAGGTCCATGGCGCTGAAACCAATAAGGTCTCTTCAACCACGAAATACGCAGAATAACGGAGACAGGAACTTTGTTCAGTGCTGGATAATACCTACCTACCCAGAACCGCCGGGCCAGCAGCCATGCTTACGCTGGATTCGGCGAGTGCTGATTACCGATTTGTCTTGCCGGTATTTCAGCGAGGTTTTATTCTGGTTCTTAAGGTTTTGAGGTTTTCTACCTAAGTTTTAGAAAAACCTCAAATGCTTCGGTTTTAAATTGGTAGACTTGTTTTTTCACGAAGTAGCTATTTTTGATTGAGCTGCTAAGAAAAGGCAGATTAAATGAAATTGCTTTTTTTAGCGATATTACGATTTTCAACCCTAAACATGAGGCTAACTGTAGCTAATTAGTACTCGATAAGTCGTAAAATAACTATCGAATGTGCCAAAAAGTCAGTTACTGTAAAGCTTTTACTTAGAACTAAGTTAGTCACTTTCTAAATTAGACTTATAAATTACGCTATTTGGGAGCAAGCCTTACAATTTATTAATACTACAATTCGTCATCTCATGCACGATTTAACCGTCGGTTTGGCACTTTTAGTCTAAACGTTCTACAGTAGAAAGTGCCAAGCCGCCCGGATCCACCATAGTACTACCAGGACTTCCTCGCGAGATGGAGAGCACCAACTTGACTGCAAACGCTGGCTCCATCCCAGCTTCGCTTCGAAAGACGTATGAAGAAGCAGGTCAGGGCCATGTCTTCCGGTTTGTCGACGCCGGCAAAGTCACCGCGCAGGATGCAAATGAACTGGTCGAAAATCTCCAGCATTATGACCCCCACCAGGTTGCGGCCCTATTCAATCGATCTACCAAGGCTAACAGCGTGGCAGATGCAGCAGCTGACGAGGTAACACCGCTAGAAGAAGGAGTGGTGCACCAGTTGAGTGAGACTGCGCCAGAGTTGAAGGAGAAATGGCTCGATCTGGGTCTCGAGGCTGTTTCAAAAGGCATGGCTGGCGCTTTGGTGCTCAGTGGGGGGCAAGGTACGCGTCTCGGCTTCGCCGGTCCCAAGGGCATGTATGATATCTGTCTTCCGTCTGGGAAGTCCCTCTTTGAGATTTTCGCGTTGCGAGTTCGCAAAGTACAGGCGCTGGCACAGACTCGCTTCAACCTGAGCGAGTCCCCCGTGATTCCGTTGCTTATCATGACCAGCAAGATGAATCACGCCACC